ACACACACACACACACACACACACACACACACACACACACACACGCACTTGGGTCGGACCGGCTGTTTTTTTTCTTCCCATTTCTTCTTTTTGATTGATTGATTGATTGATTGATTGATTGATTGATTGATTGATTGGTGGGGAAGGGGTCGCCCTTCCCCATCGCACATGTACACACACACACACACTAAAAATCCTTATTTTTATTATGTTTCTTTTGATTAAAATATTTGTTTTTTCGTTTTCTATTTTTCAAAATATAAAGACACTTCATAATTTAAAGCAAAAAAATAGGGTTGTAGCCTGTAGGTATTTTCAAACCCTACAAACCCATTTTTTTGTTTTTTTGGGGTCCATTAATTTTTTTTTTATAAATATGTGCAATTCTCGGCCGCACCCAACCGCGGGGGCCATGGCCTGCAGTCGGGATCCCGACCGCAATCTGAGATTGACCCTGGGGTCATGACCTAGGGGTATTCATAGGCTTCGAGGCCTTTGCCCAATATAGTAATATACATACGTCCCTCCGAATCAGGAGCCGTACATTGTTCTTTTCGCTAGACTCTAGCCCACCTTGACACATTGTTAATCTACCAACAGTCCCAACACATGGCCGGATGATGGCCCACCCGAGAAGTAATTGTGCCAAAAATGGCCCGCCTGGAGTACCAGTCCAGGCTGTCCCCAAAATAGCACATCTGGGGTAAGCTGTCCCCAAATAGCCCATTTCAATCAGTTGTTTGTGCCAAAAATTCTCTCTTTTCGAGGCATGCCCATAGCAGAGGGGGTGTCTGCTCTTATCAGCACCTCCTCTACTCCCCGTCATTGATGTTGCCATTAAAAAAAAAAAAAAAAAAAGACACCGCAAAGGTTGGACCTTTGGTTACTTGTTCGGTGTTTGCACTGTGGATCCAGCAGCCCTTTTCCCAACACGCCCTGTCTGAAGGCGTTTGACGTAATTTTCGGTGGCCAAAAGTGACCTCTTTCTAAAGCCGTATATACTATATAGACAGCACGCAGGCTGTTCTTGAAGTCTTTTTTTTGTTTGGTGTTCATGCCGTGGATGCAGTGGTGCGTGCGAGCGTTCCAAGGCTGAACATCGACACCGTCTTCGAGCAGAAGGATGACATTGCGAGAAATGTGAAAATGGAGCTTGACAAGGTTTGTGACACTTTGTGCTCACTGCTTAGTACAGCGCTTCGAACAGGGAATCTGAGGAAATGCGGTTTTTTTTTTTCTTCGCTTTCTGTTGTTGTTTTTCATAAAATTTTCATTTCAATACAACCGGCTCTTCCAAGAGCATTTGAAACAAGAAAGAAGGGGAAAGTGTGGCTCCGCACACTTTTAGTTTGAAATAAAGCCCGGCAACAAAAAGTGGCGCCGATGTCATGACTCATGATGATGTGAGTCTTGAAATGTGCAAAAAACTTTCGTGGGGCTCCGAAACTGCAACCGTCGGTCATCACCCGCAGTGGCAATTCGCAGATAATTTAGGGGGGTCGCCTTTTTTGGTCCGTAATTTTGGGAACTGCTAAATTAAAAGTTGCCTATTCTGAACGTTGGGTGTGATTCCAACGTACTTGCTTGCCCCTAAATGCTATGTTTCCAGAAAAAAGATTCTGTTTTTCGAATAATATAACCCAAGGTCCCACGGTACGGTCATTATTGATGTATTCAGTCTGACTCAAAGTTGGCCCATATACAAAATAATGACCAAACCTTGTCCTATTCTGGTGAACATGGTAGTGGTCGCCGGTCGGTTGTCTGGCCAGTGGCCAACTTTTTCATCGGATGGTAGCCCTGCTTCAGCACCCTGAAAAAAAAAAATACAAGACTTGCAGATGTGAAGGGTTCTCCCATGTTTAGCTTGGGGAAGCGAGTTCCTCACTGCAACCTCATGCTGATTCGCTGATAATATAGCTTTCTTCAGGCTGAGCCCGAAAGTTGCCGGGCACAGCGGCGCTCAAAAATCCCAAAATCATTGCGGACAATGCGGGGTCCACCCAAATATTTTCCCTATTATCTAGGGCTGTGGAGCATAAACCACAGTGTGGAATGGAAGGAAGGGCCTCGTTCGACACCACTACAAAACCCGTGCTTTGTAAGGGTGCCCTTACACCGAAAAAGTGATTAATTTTCCCTTACCTCATTTTTCGTTCCACAACCACTTACGAAAACCCTACACTTAGGCGCACTTACATTTCAGGTGCCTCCGTTTGCGTTTTATTGGCCGAAAGACACACCTGATGTAAAAAATAAAAATGGTTCTTTCGCGGATGTAAGGGTGCCACCCCCTACTTTCAAGTCACCTCCACGGGCCTCCTTACATCAAGGTCTGTTTTGGCTGGGGAGTCCTTACTTTTGTAGGGCCAGCCCTTACAGCCGCGAATGTGAAAACAAGTTCCCCTTCTTTTTCGTCGGGATTAGGGAGGGGTGGAACGATGAAAACCTTACATGTAAGGGTTTTGTAGTGGTGTCGAACGAGCCCCGAAGAGAGAGAACGAGAGAGAGAGAGAGAG